AGTTTTAGAAAATTTAACATAAGGGAAATCCTGAATTTGGGAAAATTGCAAATAAGGGAAATTCTGAATTTTGGAAAATTTCAAATATGGGAAATTCTGAAATTAGGAAAATTTCAAATAAGGAAAATCCCAAATTTTGGATAATTTCAAATAAGGAAAATCCTAAATTTTGGAAAATTTCAAAGAAGAAAATGGAAATATTCCACGCAGCAATAAAAACTGAAGAAATCCAAGAGATCCCAGAGCTTACTGACCACCACGTTGCATATTATAAATATAACAACTGCGCAAACTGTATTATACGTGATACGAGAGTGATTGACAGGAATTCCGATGGCACCGTGTACGTTCATTCGTATATATATACATATACGAATGAACAAGAAGTTTATATATATATATATTACAGTAGTCGCAGAGCAAAGGGTGAAGAAAAAAAAGAAACAAAATATGTAAACGCGTTGCTAATAGGCGTGAGAGTTATATCGTGAACGTTTTGAAAAACCAAAATGTTGTTCAATTACACGTACATACATCTAATAATGATATACTGTCCTCAATGAAGCGCTTTCGACAGTCGATATATCTTGTATTTAGGTGAAAAAGAAAGCAAAACGGTGGTAACAAAAGAATCTAGTCTCATCTCGGTGATATCGGTCCGTGTTTAATTCTTCTTCCTCCGAGAATCTTTCTTCTTTTTTCTTTCATTTCACAGCCTTAATCGCGTCTCTTGCTCTCTACAATTTTTTCCTTTCTTTTATACACGTTATACACATTTTTTCTCAACGTCTCTATTATTCATCGAAATATTCGTATTTCGAATTCATACAACGACAATTAGAAGGACACAATTCTCTCAATTTATTCCAACCCATGATTTAACCATTGAAACTCAAGGCGACTTCTTAAACGAACAATGACGGAAGAGCAATGAATCATTTTAGAAAAAAATAAAAATGCGTTTCGATAATCATTCGACGTGAAACTTCCCCCGAGTACAAATCCACGTTTACGATAATTATCAAAATACGTAAATAGCATTAATCGAGGGAACCATCTTCGAACGAAAAAATTCCATCTGAATTCTGTCGTCAACAAAACTCTCGCGAATCGCGGACAACCTCGATAAGAGGCTCAACGAGCAAATTCTACGTACGCGTCATTGTTAACACGAAGTTCTCGCTGTTCCGTTTCAAAGGTTAAATCGATCGGAAGGGAGGTTTTTAGTGTCACGGACGCAGATTGAACGACCGAGAGAAAAAATGGCAGAAAGGAAGGCTTGATAAAACTCGTAGCTTTGTTAAACTCGAGATACTCTTCCATGGGAGTAACCATGTATTATCATTATTGTTATATATATATAATAACGTAGCTATTATACGGAAAGGACATTACCAGTGTTTATTAGCGATCTTCAAAGTGTGATATTTTTTTAACAAACATATCGCAACGTACGTTCGAGTTCTGCGAGTGATTTCAATGCTTGTGCTACACACTTGGAGCGTGCTCCGAGTACGAGTTCAGGGAGGATTAAGACGACGATCGTGTGTGTATAAATCCAGGATCTAACGCGCTTCGAGAAGACACCGTGGCAATTCAAAACGTCGACTCGAGCAAAGCAGAGGGAGAAATGGAAAAATCGCGTTCAGACGAAAAATATCAGAAATAGAAGAAGAAAAGAATCATTCGTGAATTTCTCTAAGCGCTATCGATCGAAGATCCGTCGCTTTGTACGCTTCTCTTTGTCGCAGATTTTCAATGTGTTTCCTCCACCGATGATCGTATCGCAAGCTGTTAAACTGGCATATATAACAATCAACTTTGTGTTGCCTCGTGTGTGCTTCCTTTTATTCGACCGCGAGTTGTATCATGTTGTAACTTCCTCTTCCAAAGATTAACCTCTTTGTCTCTCGTTAACACTCGGTTTTGCCGTGTTACTTTATCTGTCACTCCTCTTTCGTCGCTGTTGCCCCTGTGTGCCTTCCTTTTGCAGACTGTTCTCTTCGGTCGATTTTCTTCATTTCACAACGGAGAAGCAGTTCAAACGAAGAAATCGAGTATAGAGAATCGCGTAATTCGCTGTAACGAGAGTGGATTTCTTCGTTTTGTTTTGTTTTTTTCTTTTTTTTTTTTTCTTTGTTGGGTGCAATTCGACGATTGTTTGAGAATAAAAGAATGACAGGAACTGATCTTTTTTGTGCTCGAATCCAGAGACGAACGAACGAGAACGCGAAGGATCTTGCGGAACAGAGAACGTCCCTGTCGATGTACAGACAAGTGAGAACGAGTTTCAAACGTGCCAGCACGAACCACGTGTCGATCATGAGGAGTATGCAAAGAGTGTTGAACATTCAACGCCAGGAGCCGTAAGGATCGGGAAGGAAGCTGTTGTAACGTACGAAATCTCTCGAGAAAAATAATTGAGCGCGCGCGTACATACACACAGTATTGTTCGTGTAGAGACGTGAAGCGAACCACGTTTTCAAAGTCAGGATTTTATCTTAACGAAACGTCTGTGATCACGTGAAGAAGAAACTTAAGTTTCAAGTAAGAAACTTGTCTGAAAGAAACGATTTATTTTCTTTTTGATATTAATCGTTTCGACGAACGATCGATTTTTAGCCGTGCGTTTTTTCTTTTGTCTCTTTACCCCGCGGTATTTGGAGAAGAGTTATGCCTGTTTAACCAGTTTCGACGATACTCGGGCATAAGTTCGATCTTAATCCTCTCGTGACTGTAGATCAGCCTTGCGTCTAAGTGTCTACTTAACTAAATGCGTAAGACATCATTTTTTCTTCGCGTTTTTTTCTTTTTTTTTTTTTTTCGTTGCATCAACGTCGGCGTCGTCATACGTTTTGGACGATAATCGTTCGGAAGGGGGATAGAAGGAGAAGAGAGAGAGAGAGAGAAACCTCGCGTTAAGGGAATTTATCGAAGCGGTATCAATGATCGAGAAAAGAGGGATTTTGTAACCTCGATGCAAACGTGCCAAGGAATTGGCAGAACAAACGATGGCGATCCCGTGGAACGACTCGTTTCGCGATGTTCCCTTTGCACCTTTTCTCTTCTTTCTTGTATTCGTGAAATTTCACTAGCTGTCCGAAAGATTTTCAAGCGAATCTTACCAAATTGCGTTGGAACGACAAAGGACAAAAAGTGTCTGGAGAGTCAACGCGAACTTTTACCAATAGACGTGAATCCAGTATTCGGTTAAATTTCCTTGGAATTGTAATTAGCGTATCGGGCGGAAAGGTAATTTAGCCGTATTATTGAAATTCTGCCCGAGAAACATTCACCGCCATCCTTTCTTTGTAACATTCGAGCGCGAAGATTTTCCGTAAGGTGATAGCTTCGATAACGGATTTCTGCGATTGTAAAGAGAAACCGTGACAACGTGCCATTGGGGAAGTTTTCAATTCCATAGGAAAACGCGTGCACAAGTGAGGTTGCAAGGAACAATTACAGGCGATTACGGTCGCCTGGGACTAATTAACCCTTTAAACGAGCAATGTTACCACGGACGTTCACGTCCTCCTTCAGCCACGTTCGTATTCTTCAATTCTAGATTAGCTCTCATTTGTATTCTCTTCTACGTTCAAACGGTCAATTTTCTCTGTTACATATACCCCGTGCGGCGAAACGTTTCGCTTGTGGCAATTGCTCGGTTAAAGGGTTAAAAACGACGAGTAAAGAAAAAGGAAAAAAAAGAAGAAGAAGACAGCGGTGGATCGGTTGCGTTCGTACGATATTCCTCGAGTTTTTCCCCCTACATCTTCGTGAAACACCCTGATTCAAAAGTGACCGAGAAGCATCGAACAGCTATTTTTAATCGTGTAACCACGCAGCAGGATTTCGTTTTCTATTCTCGAAAAAAGAAAGGTGAGAGAGGGTCTGGACGCGTGGAAAATCCCTCGAGATATCACACGACAGCCGGTCCGTTTCTGTCGAATTTCGAGAGAGAGAGAGAGAAAAAGCCGTGGAGAACGTGTAAAGATAATAACACGTTCGACACGTTTCAAAGTAGAAAATGAGAGAATTCAGCGCGTGATGCGAGCGGAGATATCGTTGAACTGTGCTGTTACGGAAACGAATAATTGTCATATAAACCGAGATTTTCGACAAAACACTTAACCTATTATGAATTACGATCATTACCATTATGATTATTACTATCACCATGATTACCGATATTATTTAAATAAAGCAGTTACTATTATTCTTACGACTGTTTCTGTTATCGTTTGTCACGTCAAGATTTTAGAGAGGGAGAAAAGAAAAATTGCACGATTTCGTACGTCGGGAGTAATTTATTGTTCTGTCTCCTTTTTTTTTTTTTCTTTTATTTCTCGTACGTGTGTGAACGTGTGTATGTACAACCCTGTGACGATCCGATGATCGATATCGATCGGTATCTATCGTGTCTACATCCCCCCACCCCTGCTACCCTCGGCGCACTTTATTTTTACGCTCTTTTTTTTACCGACATTTTTTTCTTATCCTGGTTTCTTTTATTTTGCACCCGTTTCAGACCCATCTGTAAGTCGAGCGAAAAACGAAGAATAGTATTGTAGGTACAAACGAAACAAAAAAAAAAAAACACGAGTTTGTATGTACGAAGTAGAGAGAGAGAGAGAGAAAGAGAGAAAAATTGACTGCGGAGCCTGTGAACCCTTGTGTTGCTGTTTGGCGCATTTAGAAACCCTCCCTTTCTCCGGAATTAACGTGAAAATGCATTAGGACGTTGATGTAAGTTCAACACTCACACACACACACACACACACACGTAGGTATATAAGTTGAGAGAGCGTCTCAAGATATATTTATAGGGTGTTCCGAGAATATCCGACCGCGGAAGCGTGTTTCACGCGACACGATCGAGCGGATTCTGAAATTGTCGCATTGAGAAAAAAAAATCGTACTTCTACGATTGTATGCTGGGATAAAGAATTCAAGCTCGGCGTGATTGTATCGTCTTTACAATATTTTTCTAACGTAGATTTTTCGTGAAAATTAGGAGACGATAATTTCGGGACACTTGATCTGCTAGCAACTAAGAGATCGATTCGAGACGCGACTTTTTTCCTAACATTTTTACGTACTCCATCCTCTCAGATTTTTCCACTTTTTACCTTTACGAAAAGTTCGAATAAACTGACCGCAATTGAAACGAACGAAATTTGTCTCGAATCGATGCTAGACAATTTAATTATTTATTTTTCTATTGATTTTGCTGCCGTGTACCACGTGCCAGGAGGAGTCTATAGTTCTCTGGCTTAGTAATGTACACACACACACACACACTACGCCTTTTTTAAACATTCTCCGAAGAAGACTGCGTATACACTTTTTCGTCTTAATCTCGACGATCGTTGATATTGTTACGTGTGTAGAATATATATATATATATATCTCTGAATTTCGTGCAGCTAAATCGTCTTGACACGCGTCTCGTTGGAACCCTTCGGAGTAATTGGCAAAAATTGATCGATACTGTCGATGTTCTCGTTGAAACTACGGCTGTTGCATCTTTCTGCGAGCTGTCCATTCCTAGACTACGCGTGTACAGTGCATAAACTTTGTACATTTAGAGAATTAATATATTTACCGTGTTCTGTACACTACGATTAGTCCGCGGACGTAAAACTTTATTCCATTTTTAACGATCCAATTTTTAGAAGACACTCAAGCCAGTCGCGTTGGTGTCTTTTCAATCGACAATTTCGAACTGTTGCAATCAAACGAGATACTACCGTGAGAGAACGAAGGTTAAGACTAACTCTACCAACGAATCGAGAAACGATATCGCGACAAAGTTACGTAGGAATGTTACAGTATAATCGAGGATGATTAAAGCAAGTTGGACCGCTCTAAACGAGAAATTTCTTAAGCGTGTTCAATTCCGTTCTCTGTTGATTAAACAGAGGAAGAAGGCCTCGCCGCGAGATAAGGCAGGAAAGGAAGAGAATTCGAGAGCGTTTCGTTCGTTCGAACCGCTGCTTGCTAATTTCAAACGAACGAAGTGGCTTCTTCGATAACGGAGGAAGGATAGATCGCGTTGAACGGCGGTTTCCGTTTCTTATCGCGAAGAAACGCGAATATTGTGTCTCGAAAAAGAAAGAAAAGAAATGCAGTCAGCGTGGTGAATAAACGGAATAACGTTCGCGTCGATTGTTCATTTACTCGGAACTCGGTGCACTTGAGTATCGTTCAAGTGTTGCTACCGCGACGTTCCTCGTGGAGAAATGAAACGATCAGAGTAATCACTGCTGTATATATTTATCAGAGGATGAACTACGTGCATGTATAAAATGGAACTATATATATGTTTATACATATCATATATATATATTATAAATATGTACACATATATAAACGTCGGACTTTACCGTGTACGTCGATGCATTTATTAACGTCACGCGCGATCGTGCACTATTTTTCTGCATTTTCCTCGAGAACCGTCACACGACGTTCTCTCGATACCTCATTTTTTTTTTGTTCCGCTTGTACACGGCCGATCGCAGCGATGTACGATAAGGGTGAGATAAATTATTGTTCCGTTCTATTTATTTATCGAGGGACGATTGTCTCCTCGTGGAGGTACCGAGTGGGAAGATTTCGTTCGAATCCCGAGGGAGATCTTCCTTTGGCAATAACTGTTGTAACAATAAAGTTTGAGAAGAAACATTCGTCGCATTATACTGTGTATGTTGAACCTTCCAATTCGTGTCTTCCTTCTGAAAGTTCAGCCCTTTGCACTCGGAGGTGATTTTGCTGTAGAAAAGGTTGCGAATCGGATCTTTGAAATTTTTTCGAACTAACGTGGAAATGAAGTATACTGTTTTATTTAAATGTTCAACGTATTCTCGATTTCACTGTGGCGAGGAGATTTATGGAGGCCCGTAGATCTGTTCTCTGTCTTCGTTAATTATTCACCAAGTGACGATTATTTAACGTCGCTTCTCAGTCGCCGCTCGATTGCAGAGGATTAACTCTGGAAGAATCGTCTGTGTTAAGATGACTTATTGGTAATTTTGTGAATTTTTACTTAACTAAAGTGTGATTGATAAATTAAGTAATAAATGTGATTGATAAAGAAAGTCAGAAAATTAGAAGCAATCAGTTTTCTTGGAAAGTTGCCGATGGGTCATTTTTGACCCGGTCGATTTTTCTAGCGTTAAGAGTGAACTTTAATTGACCTTTGGTGAACTTGTTTATCCACGAATCCCTGTCTTTATTTTTAAGGTAATTAACGTCTCTGTGAGCACAAAGCTACCCATTTGACAGGTTAAGTACAGGTAAGTTAGATTTGGTGGTAGGTGATTTATGAATTGTTCCGAATTTGATTGGATGGTTGGATCGGAGTAAAACCTGGCGTCGAAATTCACGTGTATGACAAAGTAGGGGCTAACGAGGAGGTGACTCAAACTTACGTATAAAGGCTTATGCCGATGAAGTAGAATTAGGACAGA